TGGGCATGGCTTAGGGGGCTCCTCCAGCTCAGAGTCTCTCATGAGGCTTCAGGCAAGGTGTTGTCCAGGCTCAGTCATTGCAACTGCAGCAGGATCTGCAGTCACCCTCTCCACTGGGGCAGGATTCGTTTCCAAACTCACTCAGCGGTTGTTGGCAGGATTCAGTTCCTCACAGGTTGATAGACCGAGGGCCTCAGTTTCTTGCTGGCTATTGGCTGGAAATTTCTCTCAGTGCCTTGCCAAGTGGCCCTCTCCACTGGTCAGTTCACAACACGGCAGCTGATGTCATGAGAATCAGAGGGAAAGAGAGATGTCATTTCCCATCACTTTTGCCATATTCTGTTCATTAGAAGTCACTAGGTCCAGCCCACATTCAAGGCGAGGAGGCAGAGAGGAATACACAAGGTATGAATACTAGTATAGAGTCAAGCAAGAGAATCACTGGAATGTTCCTTCTAGTTTAAAATATTCTAATTCTACAATGAAAACTAGAGAAGGGATGAAATAGGAAGATTCATGTAAGGAGGTGAGGCTTCTAGTGTGTTGTGCAAGATGTATTTCATCTGGAGCCAAGAACAGCAAGCTGGAGGCAGGGGATTTTCCCACATGTGAACATCCCTTGGGTTAGGGAGGAAGAGTGGAGGGGGTGAGACAGCAGAAGTTCTTAACAAGTGGTATACATCTGAATCACCTGTGGAGCATTTTAAAAATGCATATGAGGGGGCCGGCCCTGTGGCCCAGTGGTTGAGTTCACGTGCTCCACTGCAGGCGGCCCAGTGTGGTTCGGGTCCTGGGCGTGGACCTGGCACCACTCATCAAGCCACGCTGGGGCAGCGTCCCACATGCCACAGCTAGAAGGACCCACAGCTAAGAATATACAACTATGTACTGGGGGGCTTTGGGGAGAAAAAGGAAAAAAATAAAATCTTTAAAAAAAATGCATATGAGAAGGGATTGTCCCATGGTGTAGTGGTTAAGTCTGACACACTCTGCTTCCATGGCTTGGGTTTGTGGGTTTGGATCCTGGGCATGGATCTGCACCACTGGTTAGCCATGCTGTGGGGGCAGCCCACATACAAAATAGGCGCAGATTGGCACAGATGTTAGCTTAGGGCGAATCTGCCTCAGTGATTATGACGTATCCCTAGGTGAGATTCACTATAATATAATGAGCAGACCATTTCTATTTGACCCAAGGGTTTGTGTCAGAAATAGTCTGTTTTAAGGTTAGAGAGGGTGGTGGAAACAGGTATTCCCAATGAGGAACTTAGATCTGCTCCTTAAGAAAATAGGGAGCCATTGCAGGTTCTTGAGTAGTGGATGTACATAATTAGAGTTGTATTTTACAAATTATTTCATTTGTGCGTTCATTCATTTTTATTCAAATATTTGTCACCACCATAGGACAGTTAGAGAGGATGACAGAAGTTTTGATTATTTTCAGGATGAGCTACAAGAAGGAAAACTGGCTAGAAACTTAGGTAGTAAAAAAATGTGATGTCATGAGTTGGATGAATGTGGGGAGGAGTTGAGAGGATTTCATAATTCAGTGGAAGGGATGAAGAAGGGTGAGAAGAAAGCAATGACACCAGGTCTTTCGCTGATTCACTGTCCTCATGCAGACCTCTCAAGGCTGGGAGGCAGGGAGGGAGGCTGTGGGAGAATTCAAGCCATTGTGTGCTTTTAGCTCTTCTGTTTAGTACAATATTGCATGGATCTGGCAAGGACAAAGTAATGTGACTCAGTAAGCCCTTGAAAAAGGGATTTATTCAGAGGGACTATATTTTAAATCCATAAATGATGAGATTCTTGCCAAGCTTCTTTTGAATTAAATAAGGCCCAGAATATGGAGGGAACAGGAATGTTCATTAAACTGATAAGGCAACATTTCCAAATGAATAATACAAAATCAAATAGAGTCTTTGTTTTCGTTGCTTCTAGAGAATCAAAGCCACAATCATTTTGTGGCTCTGTGCTTTTACCAATATAGTACATATTTTTATTATATTTCCCAGAATAAAAGGGTATATAGTTTCTCGGCACAGTGACAGACATGTTTTCTTGAACAATACCCAGTAAAGGTCACATTGGAGATTTGAGTCACAAGCCCTGTGATTTAAATTTGAGGCTAAGTTTAAAAATGGTGTGTCTAGAGCTTGCCAAGTTCCATTAAAAGCCATGGTGTCATTTTGGATTACGGTTGAATAGAACAGGATCCAGTGGGATGTTGTCTCTTTCTTAGCAGCAATACAGAGATTTTCTTCCTTGTATCATTCCCTGGCTATGTTGTTATGGTAGATATCTACTTTCACACCAAATCCTGGAAAATAATGTCTAATTTCATGCATCTATTTTTTTTCCCTAAAATAGCTCGTTTTCTGGCTTTTCAGTTATCATCAGTGGCTTTCTATAAAAGCCTGATCATTTGTGCATGTCCAGTTATGGATGATCTTGAGTTCTACCTTCCTCACTGAAGCCTTCTTGAGTCCTCTCATCTTCCACACAGAGGATCTCCAAATTTCCAAAGCTTCGGAGCACTTGTTGCCTCACTGATGTCATCATGCTCTGTTATATAACAATGCTACTACTTCTGCCTAACATTTTGATGAGTTCTTACTATGTGCCACTCATTGTGCCGAGCACTTTATATGGGTTATCTTACTTAGTGCTCACAACAACTTGCCTGGGAAGTATCTCATTTCTGCATTTTGTAGATGAGGAAGCTGAGGTTAAAGAGTTTAAGTACCTTGCCCCAGGTCATACAGCTAGTAAGCGATGAAGCAGGAACACCCCCAGGCAGTCTGGTCCAGACCCCATTCTTTCAAATTCTTATTAGTACCACCTTCTTACAATTTTTGACATCCTAGTTGTCTCCCCCTCAAGGCAATAAAGTGCTTGAGGGAAGACTATCTTATTTCAGTATTCCTGGAATTATCCGACTTACTGATTGACTCTTAAGTATGCAATAAATAGTGGCTGAGTGAATACTCGAAAATTGCCATTGAGATTTTATGGGAAATGGGGTGTACAATTTTGGACATATGCTTTTAAGGGGCGTGAAGAAAACAGAATGCTAGTATATGAGGTTTTAGGAAGAGTTTCTATTTATTTTGTATTCCTGTCATTTGGGGTTGATTCTATGGTTCAAATAATTTCTCCCCCTTCTTTGTCAAGTTCCTCCTCTTTGTTTTATGCAAAGATGGACCGGCTCTGTTTGGCTCTCTTCTTTTTTCTTTTTTTTCCCCATGTAATAATTGCAGTCCTCAGTCCTGCAGAACTCTGAAAATGCTACCAATAGTTTTTCGCTTCTCCTTTATTCATGACTTAAGCTATGGTTGCCAAGAATAAAATAAAATAGGGGCTGCCTTGTGGCTGAGTGGCTAAGTTCACGTGCTCCGCTTTGGCGGCCCAGGGATTCACCAGTTTGGATCCTGAGTGCCGACATGGCACCCCTTGTCAGGCCATGCTGGGGCGGCATCCCACATGGCACAACCAGAAGGACGTACAAGTAGAATATACGACTATGTACCAGGGAGCTTTGGGGAGAAGAAGAAGGGGGACAAAAAAGATTGGCAACAGATGTTAGCCGAGGTGCCAATCTTTAAAAAATTAAATAACTTGTTAAATATTTATTTATTTTATTTATGTGTGACCTTCCTGCTCCATCCTTCTCTAGCCTTTCAGAGGAGCGTCTCAAGTGCAGTGTGGCTATGAGCTACAAGTTCCAAGACTCAAACAGAAGTCTGTGGCATTAAAAGCATGAACTTACAGGGGAATTTTGAAGTGTTTAGTTGGTGGGCGGTGATCCTGAAACGCTGTCAAAGTGGTTGCTGGGACAGCTGGTGGAGGTCAGCTGTGGGGCTCTCTGTGTTGGCACTGGAACGACCCCAAACATGTAGGTATTTAACTAAAACTGAGAGGAGAAATCTGGATGGAGCCCTGCCAAGCCCTGCTCAGTCACCCTCAGCTGTTAAGATGGACACAGCCGTGAAGAGATACTGTAGTGTCACTCGGAGAAATCCACAGATGTGGGCTCCATTCCTAATTGCATCAGGGAAACCCTTAGGGAAAGATGATGTTCTTTTTCACCGGGACAGCAAGGGAACTGTGGGTCACGCGGGGATCAGAGAAAGTTGAGACATTTGAGCTGCTATCCTTGATGTAGTACAGCACACAGACCTGCCCCATAACACAAGGGGACTACTGGGCTTCCAGTGAGTTCTCTCTCTTTGCATAAGGAAGAAAGGTGAGAGAAAATTTGCATGGCTTAAAGCTAAGCGTCTGTGTTGCTTTGGGGTCCTGACCATTCAAGACAATTTTTGATATAAAACTAAAGCAAGTTAGGAAAGAAAATTTCTTATTTAATTTAGCAATATTTGAATTAGGTTAGTATATTGCAGCATTATCTATTCTCTTGTCAATCCTGTTTGTGGAATATTTTTCTAAAACACACAGGCCACAGAGTGAAATGGGGGTAAGAGCCAGCCCTGAGGCCTTTGGGCTTCGGTAGACCAGGTCCTAAGTCTGGCCTCAGGAGTCTGTGCTTTAGTTTTCTCATCTGCAAAATGGGGCCAGTGCTCTCCAAATGCAGGGCCGTCATTCAGATTAGAGAGCCCATGTCTATGAAGCCCCTTGCACGGTGCCTCGCAGCTGGGGGTCGCTCAGGAAATGCGAGGGTTGCTGCCTTCCTGCTCATACTCTGTCCACAGTTCCTCAGTCTTGCTAAAATAGTCTGTTTAGATAAAGGGGAAAGCAGAGTGTGCTTAGTTATAAAATATTCCTGACCTTTAGAAATTTCTAAACGCAGTGCTGAAAGGTGACTGTCCCACCCTGCCATTTATGAGTAAGAAGATTTAGGGGTACAAAATTAACAGAAATGAATACCATTACTTTAATAATACCAGTAGGTGCAAATACAGCACTTTCTGACCACAGTGTCTGGGACTGGCAGTAGTGGTACTTGGGGCACTTCCTAATGGTGTGCTTTCCTTTCCTTCCAGAAGCATCTGGCATGTCAAAGCCGCACTGTCTTCCATGGGACTTCCTTTGTAAACAGCTTCTATTTAAAATATTTTTGTGAATACGTTGTTTCAGTCAAGTCCCCAAAGAACACATTTGTCTTCTGATCTTCTGGAGGTCTTAAGGTTTGTGTTAATTTTTCCATTTTTCTCACTGAAGATGTTATTAATTTTGAGGGACATTTTAAAAAAGGATAAATAGTCATACTCTATTGTAATAAAAACTCTGGAAGTAGATTATGCACAGGTTATAATCCTTTGATTTCATTGGGAGATAGCTATAAATGAAAAGAAATTTGATATGCTACTTCTCATACTTATTATCGTATGCTCTGTGGGATGTTACAAGGGTATTAGAAATAAATATCCCCACATTGGCTTAAAACAAATTTTATTTCTGTGTTCGTAAATTCTAACTGAATAGATTCAGTAAATTTATATTGAGTGTTCACATATATCAGATTTTGTTAAGTACTTTCAGTTAGTTAAGACCTTGTGTATAAATTATATTTTGAAACACTGAAAATCAAAACTGCATTTGTCAGTATCAACTAGTATTATCATTGTGACATTTCTCAAATTATAAAGTCTCAGTGGCCAGAATGTTTTCATTTACTTCTACCCAGGGGTACTCACCCTATGATTTATAATGATAGAACAGGGTTGTTGTTGTTTTTTAATGTGTGTATATTAACTGCTTGAAAAATTACTAACAATATTGTTGCTTACTTGAGGAAAAAGCTTGCTAGCAAAGCAGGCATTTTATTTTGGAAGTATGTGTTTCTCTGTTGAGATAGTACCAAGCGAAACACTTTTATTTTGAAAGTACTTTCTGACAAAGACCTATCCAAGGGCTAAATTCAATCCATGCATCTTTCATAGATGGAAAAATAAACCAGAGAGAGGATAAAGCTTGGTGTATTGAGTGGACAAAAACTAAATGAAGAGCAAGGGAGAAGGAACACAGCGCTTTCCCTAGCAGGACACATCTTTTTCCACAGGCATTTATTTCATTTGGTTGGACTTTTATTCTGTCCACGGTGACAGATGTTTTCGCCCCTAATAGCCCTTTACTATGGCTTTTTTTTTTTCTTTCTTTTATTTCTCCTGAGAAATCAAAGTAGATTTCTCTGCAGTGCTGGGCTAGATTCCAGTTTTCCCACTGCACCCTTTGTTGTTTGGCCTCATGACTGACTCACTTTGAAGTGCCAGGCATGTGGTGTATATGGGGGGAGAGGATGAATGGGAGGTTGTGCCTCCATCTTCAGCTCTCCAGTCTGTCAATTTGGCAGGATGTTGTAGTGTGTAGAAACCTAATAAGTGTCTCCATAGAAACAGAAGTGATGGAAAGGACTTGAGAAGTTACCTGAATGTTCCTCCCTAGTCTACAAGCAAGATCTCTCTTGAACTGACTGAAATCAATGAGAATCTATTTGTTTTCAAACCTTCTTACCTAGGTATCCATTTTCATTTTGAAGCCCAATATAGAGTCTCCTTTCTTAGAAACCTTGTTGTCAAGAAAGCCTAAGTAATTCCTGACCTCCTATCATGGCAATTTCTTTCTTCTTCCATGGAGAGAGAGAATTTATTGGTCGGAGTCCTCCTGTATCATCACAGAATCAGTTCTCAAGTCATCCTTTTTTGTCTTCAGGAGCAATAATGCTTTATTTTTTTTTTAACTTTCCCCATGAAATTGTATAATCCCAAAATTTACTTATCCTCACAATTCTTTTCCGAGTCTCTTAAGTTCTTTACATTCCACTTGAGTTTAAAAGTCCAGACTGATTGCAGGAGTGTTAAAAGTCTTCTATTGGTGTTTCTCAATGGGTCCACTATTGACATTTTAAGGGGCACAGTTCTTCAGGATGTAAGATTGTTCCATGCCTTTTAGAATGGTTAATAGCCCCGGTTCCCAGGAACCAATGACAGTGGCTCTCCCATTCCCCCATCGGTGTAATAACCAGCTTTACACTTGCTTTACCTTTCCCAGCAGACGAGGGCCAGGACTGCCCAGATTACAAACTCCTCACTTAGAGCTGAGGATGCTGAAATGGCAAAGCTGAGTGAAGGGTGGAGCTGGACCTGGACTCCAGTTTTTAACCCTGAGTACCCTTCTTTTCCCACTCTATCACAGTTCTCTGGGCTTACCTTTTTTTTCAGCTGTCTAGAAACACACTAACATGCATATATGGATGCTCTTTTGGAGAACCAGAATTTCAGGTTTGGTGTTTAAAGATCACTGTTGTTTGATATGGGAAAGGTAATATCAAAACTCAGAGCAGGAAAATAGAAGAGAGAGGACAGCTGTGGGAATGTAGGGAAAAGACAGGGCCTGGACCCCAGAGACGTGTTGGGGCTGATGTTGCAAAGATATCAGGTCAGTCACTGTGAGAGGCAGGGGTAGAAAATCTGAAATCTGAGGGAAGCCTGAGAAAGGTAATTAACAAAGCAGTATTTTTTCTCTGGCTTTTCACCATGCACCCTATTTCAGCTCTACTCCATGACACAGGCTCCCTCAGAAATTGGAGGACCAGTTTATGGGGAGCTCAAAGGGCACTTGATTGCAGTTGAAACTCTGTCCAGCCCCCATATCCCTTGCCTCACCCCCATACTATCCTCCATCAATGTTTCTTCTTCTTCCTCACTTACCTGTCGGTGGCCGCCGCTTCATTCTTCACTCATATAGAGAATGGGGAAATGACTTGATGACTTTTCTTTCTCCAGATTCTTCCAAGGTCTCATGTAAAGTTATTAAATAAAAGGAAAAGACTTAGAAGCAATTGAGCTTCGGGAAATTTCTCCTGCAAAAGCTTTGTTAAGGCTCTGATCTCTTGAGACCTTTGCCCTAACACAGTTACAACACTTCCATGGAATTCCCTGGTACAGAAGTTACTTAATAACAAAATGAGAAGAGTTCGTGGCTTAGACACTATTCTAAGTAGGGATATCTCCGTTGTTGTAGTGGACTACACTTAATTCCTGCCTTAGCTTCCACAAAATATGGTAAGTGCAGAGTTGAATATGGGAACTGAACTAAAGAACTCTTTGCTTTCTAGTAAAATGAAGAGTCCTACATGATAACATTTATCATTTGTAAAAAGGCTACATTTATGGAGAGAGAAATAATAACATCAAAGGCTTCTCTTATCTTGTGTTATTTCATTATTTAAAGCTTTATGACTGAGTTCCTGAGCCAGATTTTTTAAACATGGTGATTTTCTTGTCCTGTCTTCTTTTGTGCGCAGGACACCAAGTTATATTTGACTTCTCAGAGTTTCTCATTTCCTGAAATGCACTACTAGCTCTATAAACATGGGAGAATAAATATTAGCTTTATGAGACCACGTTCTTCTACAAGTTGAAAAATAGCATATAATAAAAAATACAAGGATGTAATATTGAAAATTATAGGTCAATATGGCCTCTTATTGTGGGTATATATCTAATCTTCATGTGTGGAGACTACTTTTTCAGAAAAATGTGTGCTGGGTAACACCACTTGTGTCTGTGATATATTGTCACCCCTCATATTTAGCAATATATCTCAAGTGACTCTTGCCTCACTAGTGAAATGTTTCAGGCTTATTTACCACTACGATTTAAAAAAAATAAAAACCCTCTGGTTCCTTGCTGTTGATTCTAAGAATTGCATACCGTCCAAAGTTAATAAAATGTTTGTGGGTTCTCTTTCTGCTAGAGTGCCCTGGCACCCAGTGGAATTACATTAGAAAATGTTTAATGGCAGTTTTGAAAGAAAAGGAGGTCTTTGTCAGGGGTTAAAAAAAAAGTCAAATGTAGTCTTGCACAGCTAATCAATACATTAAGTGTATAAATTGTTATTCCAAAATGCAGACTCTAATTATACATTTTTAGCAACAATGAAAATGTGGCATCCATTAACTGTGTTCCTTGAAACTCAAATTCACACCCTGTCAGGAAGGAAAAGAATAACCTACGTAGATAGTTATGAGTTGAAACACTGTTTTAAAGCCAGTGGATTCAATATAATTATGTCCAGATAATTCACTTCCATCTGAAAATGACCATCCATTTTCCAAAAGTGCCACTGACTTCTCATATCAACGACAGTCTTTTCTTCTATATTCTCTCTCATTGTTGCTCTTGCTAAAGATGGACAATAATCAGCTTTGTATATTCTGGGCCCAAAAGTGAAAAAAATTGGGCTTATTGGAATAGCTCCTTCTAATTGCCTAAATTTCTACAGCATTCTTCTTTTAAACAACAAAATTTTAAAATTATATTAATTTTGATTATGAAGTAGTTTAAACCTATAGAAAATAAGAAACACTGTGTATCTACCCCGTATTTTAAAATGTCGATACTATCATATTTGCTTTCAATTTCTAGTTTTTAAAGTTAAAAAAAAATCACCATCCTTCCTCTTCATCCATCCCTGTAAGTAACATAACTATAACAAGATGGTTGTATATTATTCCCTTTATATAATATTATATTATATATTAGTCATGGATATATACCTATATATTTCCATAACTAAGTCTGTGTCTCTATATATGGACCACTATTTTTAAATTTACATAGATGAGATCATACTGAATCTATACCTTTGTAACTTATTTTTCATCAACATTGTTTTTTTTTTTAGAAGAATTTGTTAATATAACATCTGGCTCACTCATAGTAGTTAATTGTTGTGTAGTCTTCCACTAATAAAGCATATCTACCTTCTCATAACACAACATTTACTAGTCTTTTTTTTCTGGACCACCGTCTTCCTGCATCCATCTCATCACTCATGGTAGACATACAGGTTTATTGTGTGCTACTGCTATATCCTGCCTGCCACAGAATAGGCAATTGGGCAATATTTATTCCTTAACTTGTACTACAAAATCTTTCATTTCCTTCTTGTCAACAAAGTTTTCTACTTCATTTTGTGATTACTGTTGATGTCCCTCTGTCCTTTTCTACTGATTTTTCCTGCAAGTGGTTTCTAATGTGGCTTTACCACTTCCGTCTCAGCAAAGTATAATTGTGTCTAAATAGTGAGAAAAGACAAAAGAAATAGAACAAAGGCAAAGAAGAGAATGAAAGATGGAAGAAGGGATTACTTCCAGTCCTTAGTCTCTGAGGTTCACTTGTGT